ATGGTCTCAAGTTGCAGTGGGGGAGGTTTAGGTTGGATATTAGGAAAAACTTTTTCACTAGGAGGGTGGTGAAACACTGGAATGCGTTACTTAGGGAGGTGGTGGAATCTCCTTCCTTAGAAGTTTTTAAGGTCAAGCTTAACAAAGCCCTGGCTGGGATGATTTAATTGGGGATCGGTCCTGCTTTGAGTAGGGGGTTGGACTAGATGACCTCCTGAAGTCCCTTCCAACCCTGATATTCTATGATTCTGTGAACTCTATTGGACACTAAAAACCATTGACTAAAAAGACACACCAGTTTTACAGTTCATTACAACAATTTGCAATATATCGTACTACCTGCTAAACCTTAGCTACCCACTCTATTTGAAGTGGTGTCCTACAGCATGTGCGAAACCCTTATGCTTAATAACCTTTCCCACTTTGTATTTAGTTCTGACACTCTGGCTACTTTCTCCATACCTGAAGAAGAACTGCAGGGACTTCTGGCAGATTCATTAAATCTACCAGCTGTGATAGGCACTAGATTATGACCATCATTCGTATTTTGGCAAATCCCCTGTAGGAATTTCTGAACTGCAGTTTGTATGAACCCCACAAACACTGAGAACAGACTATTCAACTAGGAAAGTGATTTAAAATATATTTAATTTTTTAAATATTATTTTTTCCTCTTTACCCTGGGTATTCAGCTCCAGCAACAGTCCCAAGCTTCTAGATATTGAACCAAAGATAAACCATAGCTTGAAAGCATAAACACAATCATTTATCATAACTCTTGAAGCTTACAAAAGTGGCTCTTTAAAACGAGAGATTTAAAACACACTATAAAAATAAAACTAAAAAGTTCTTCTCAGGGTTAGAAAGCTTAGCTTCCTTTTAACAACACGTGTTTAAAACTTCTTGCTTTACTAATTTCTCCTACAAGCACCAGAGGTAAATACAAATGTGCTTTCAGTTTGTTTTCACTTTTTCTTTACTCTGCAAGGCCTTTTCCTGTGCTGCTGCTTTATTTTTTATTTTTTTTAAATTTTCATTCTAAGTTTTCAAACAATTTCTCAAAGCTGTGGAAAGCAGACACAATGGTCCCATCATGAGCGTAAGAAGAAAGTTTAAATGGTACTGGAATCTGGCGTGCACACACACATTGCCTGATGTTCTAACTACAGGTCATTGAACAGTATGAGTTTATGAAAGCAAGCCAAATCCATATTACTGGCTCACATTTCAAACACAATTCAGGTTTCTCTTTGATTCTATATTAAGGTAAAAGCCTGTGGGATTTACTTGCTCAGGGAGATGATAAAAACTGAATGATAACAGTATTAATATGGAGTCTTACTCTTCAGTTTTAATTTGGTGACTACTCTTTCGAGCATTGTGCAGGTTATAGTGTCTGATTGTACAGTATACTGGAAATATGCTACAGAGACAAATGATCTACTAAGGTTTCTCCAATCTTATCAGGAAACAGAATGACATTTAACTAAGGCCCTGTCCATACCATGGTTGAAACTGTGCCACCTACCACCATATTTAAATACCATTGTTGTTGGCAAGCCCTAGTACTGTTTACTTGATTAGCATGGACTGGGAATTTTTTTGAGGACTGTTCTTGAAACAAAAGCAATGCAAAGCATTTGGAAACCTGAATGTCCCTTGCCTGGGAGATCTCTGGATTGCAGAGAGTAGCAGGCTCTGTCTCTTCCCCACTCCCAGTCCTGATGTAGGGGGCATACTGGGAACATTTCTGGGGAGGGGTGTGGTCATGACATCATATACTTCAGCAAGTCCCAGCTGTTGAAATCCCTTTGACAATCATCATTGCAGTGTGGCATAATTTAGAGAACGCCTCAATCTGACTTTTGTAGTTCCAGGAATCACTGGGGAATGCAAAGATGGCTTGTCTTCTTCTCTGTGCAGTTCCACCGAGAAGACCACTGATGCAGCTAAGGACCTAAACTTGCTTCTCTACGTATAGTATACAATGGAGTTATAACATGATTGTAACATGCTCTTCAGAGGCAAAATATACCCTGTCTACATTGTAAGAGAAAAGCATGCTTATAAATAATTGCTGGTATGGATTCAACATAAACAGAAAGAGAGGCACTAATAATGATACTCTTTTCTTCTCTAACTGTTGCCTTCTATCAGAGTGTCTCAAAGCACAATACAAAATCCCCCCCTCTCATTTTTTAACTTGTGTAGTCTAGAAAAAATATAGCATATGCATATTTACTTATGCAGAAATTGTGACCACAGAACTTATTCCACTGAGAAGTTGGATGTGATGTTTAAATCTTTATCAGAACATATGTGAATTCTGCAAGAATTTTTCACTCACATTAAAACAATACACCAAATGAAACAAGCTTTTCTCACGTGCTTGTAAGTTTACTCAAAAAATATTACAAACCTAGATCAAGTTCCCTATTCTTTGGGTGGTATTTCTAATACAAAACTTAATTTTGCAAATGAACCCTATCTTTATAATGAGCCAAATCAAAACCTCAAGTCCAATTATCGCCAAACTTAAAGTTTGAAATCTCCATCTGGACTTCTGCTGCTAGTCTAAAATCTGAGTAGTACTAAGATATTTCCTGAAATATCTTGAGGAACCAAGTGAAGACACTTTCCGAAGATTAAGAGTGAGACAGAAAAGGAGATGCATTTTGATCAATATTTTCCTATTATCCTAGAAGACTAATTTAGGTATGGAAATACTTCTCTGAGGGAAGGAAAAACGAGAACATGAAACAATGTCTTTTAAAAAAGTAGTATTCTATAGGTTTAAGTTTCTCCTCCAAATATCTTGGATTTAAGGGCTTTCCAGATTTGCTCTCTTTGAGAAAGTCCAAGAAGAGAAATTTCTCATGGTTGCCCTCAACGGCCTAGTAAATTCTTTGCTGCCTAGTCCTGTCTCTAAAGAGATTGTGTACATATGTGGAGATATGCCAGTCCCATTTTAAGGTTTTTAGATATACCAGTTGTGCAGTTAGTCAGGCTTGCATAGAAACCAGTTCTTATACTTAACCATAGATGGCTTGTGGTATCCACTGACTTTGTAGCAAAAATCCTGCTTCTGTAGTGTAGCCAGTTATGCGGTCATATTCTTATTAGTCCTTTGTTCATATATTACAAATAAATGCCACATATCAACCAGATTCACCAGTGAGCATCCTTAATTTCCAAAACCAAATTCGCTGGCAATTCTAATGTTTTTTTCCTATGGGAGTAAGTCATGTAGAGTGGGTGCATCCAGGCTATGTGTCCTCCCAACAGCCAACTAAGCCCCAAACATGCAGGAATGCCAGGAGTTTAGGGAAAGCAGGCCATATTGGATCCTCTCTCCTCTTTCATTAACTTCAGGATTATCTTCATGAGTGGCATTGGTTTAATGCTTTCTATGGAGAAGAAGAGGTGGCAGCATTAAGTCCCAGAAATGCATTTTTCCGAAATCTCATTTAAAATTCAGCACCTTGCTGTTAGTTTCTGCTAGTGCTTTACATGGGGGCTGCACAAACTAAATTAGTATAAGATAAGTACAGTAGGAGAGAAACAACACAGAAGAGAACCTCTCCAAGATGCACAGTGTACACCTTATTTACTATTAAAGTTAGTTCCTGTGCAGCAAAATTGTCATCAGGTAAAGAGTAGCATGTGCTTAGGTTTACAAAGTTATATATATTACCTAAAAAAATCATTAGTGGAAGATTCTTGTGTTTTTACAGTTTCCCAGAGGAATGCAAGTACGTTGCACAGATTCCAACTCTGCTTTTAATGAGTTTGCCAGAAGCCATTTCTTACAGTGTTTATCATAATTTCTTTCAACAATAATTCAAATGCATGATGGGAAGTGGAAGTCAGAAAGTTGAAGCAGAAGGGACAAACCTGATACTTGTGATTAATTCCTGACAGTAATCGGTGCAACTATTTAGAATTATTCCAAGTGAAACAAAAGACTAAGGATCAAATTGAGCCCCAAACATTCATATGGGCTGCTGACTGACTTCAGTGGGAAGTGTATGCATGTCTCAGAGGACAGAACCAGCCTCTTAGGGAGTGCCCTGTCTGACAGAAAGGGTAATTCTTTTCACTGGTGACAATGACAGGGAAATGTTGTCACTCTCTCAACCAAACAAAAATAAAAATCAATACAAAGTATTACAAGTTACATATAAGTGTATATCTATTTATAAATATGCTCAGGACATACCATCTTAAAGATGTGTGACCCCAACAAGAAAATAATCTCTACTGCACTGAAAAGAAAAATACCACAAATACAAGAGTAAATTGGCTTCCAGTATGTTTCAGTAATGTTATTCTAAAGTTCACTGATCATCAATGTTCATCTTTAATAGATACAAATATATTTATAGCTCAGCAACTCTTTTACAATGTATTATGTACAATACTTGATTTCTACATAAAAACTAGAGTTTATTATTGTTACAATATCCTGCAATCATATTTAGCACTAACCATCCTAGGATCTGAAATTGCATTGCAAGCATTAACTAACTAATCCGCACAATACCTTTCAAGGTACTAAGTGATTATTTACTTTAATACAAGGTTAAATTAGGGATAACATTTCATTTTGCAGATGCTTTCATCTTCTTACAATGCCTTTTCAGGCAATTCCATAATATTTTAGTAATTCTGCAAGTTGTAGGTAGGAATCTCTCTAAGAGACTGTAGGTAGAGACTAATAAGTGAAAGTAGGCTCTATCTCCCCATCCATTAAACTTTTTTAAAATAATTTTTACACACAATCTTGTGGCTTTGAAGTAGATAATGTATTAAAAAAATCTTGTACCTTGGATCCTGAACATTTAATAATACTAACATCCAGTTACTATTCAAAGCAAAAGCATATTTCTATCAACTTTTGGTCCCAAACAGGTCACAGAGTGATTGTGAGTTGGTAAATAATAAAGGGATACAATTTGTTAATCCAGTCAACTTCTGAAGACCAAAGCAATCAAACATACCATGAGTTGGTGTCTTTTCTCTTCTCCGAACTCCTGTGGTTCTGCCTCTCTCATACTCAGAGACCATTGGATGGCCCTCATCTTCAATTAATGTGTAATACTTCCCACTTTCATGCTCCAGAAAGTAGCTAGGTGACTCGGAGCCTTTCATTCCAGACTTTCCATATTTGCTGATGTCATCACAAGACATTATTCCAATTTCATCCCTAAAAATATTGACATAAAATAATAATCCAAAGAGATATGGGGAAAGGATCACTTAATGATGAAGACCTAAAGTGGACGTTCTACTTCCCACTCTGTTCTAAACAATGGTGCGTTGTCATTAGGATACCATTTATTATGTGAATGAGAAATTTGATATTTTGCACTATTTGGCAGTAACTGAAAAAAAAAGTGACTGTACCTGCTGCCAAAATAGAAAGCAGTGCTGACCATTTTTTTTAATTTTCTTTGAAAGCAAAATTATTCATTTCAGCTAATTATTTTAGTGTTTATCAGACTTACGGGACAAGAAGTACTCATTTTTACAAAACATAGTATAGGCATTGACTATAATCATAAAAGAAAAAACTTTGTTTCCAATATAAATTCCTAATGTGCTGATCATCAAAGACTCTGTACTTAAATTTTACACCAAGTTAAAGAGGCAACAAATCTCAACATTGTCACTGTGGAATAAGAATAGTTTTTTACCCGACATTAACCGTGTTTCTCTGAGATATTGCAATTGGTGTGAATCCCACTAAAGATCTGCAGGTGCCTCGAAGACCCGAGATCAAATTATTTTGAACAGCAGGATCTGTTGTGGCCATACGTGCAACATGTGCATCCTCACGCTCGTATGTGAGGGCATAAAAGGTGGAGTGATGCAACCCTTCCTCAGGTCCCTCACAATTCCTGTGACAGCTGAGGATTCAGAGAGTGGGGATGGAGGGTGGGTCAAGGCATTCACGTTGACATTATCTTGGATAACCCATTACCGTAGGGTAAGTAATAGTTCTTTCTTCTTCAAGTATATGTCAGTGTGGATCCTACTGTAGGTGACTGGCAAGTAGTGTCCCCTCTGGATGATGGGTGAGGAGTTTCAGCTGCGTTAGTCAAACACATATTGTAGTACCACCTTCCTGAACTTGGCATCTACCCTGGTGGGTAAGTCCACTGCATAGTGCTGTGGTCCTTGAACTGGGAGGCACAGAGGAATGTTTTGGGCTGGGTGCACTGGGGTTCTGTTGATGTAAGCCTCTGAAAACACCCAGCATATGTAACTTCTGTATATCCCCAGGATTGCAGAGTGGCCTATGAGTCTTTTAGTGAATGGAATGTTCCATGAGTTCTGCTACTAAAGAACTCCATCCTTCAAAGGGCAGGTCCTGCAGGGCTGGCCCACAACATTTTGGCACCTGAGGCAGGGAGCTCAAATGACGCCCCCATGCTCCCTCACTTGGGCCAAAACTTTGAAAAGTCTCAATTCTGCCTTCTTCCTATTCTACCCCTCGCATGGTACTGCTCTGCTACCTACCCCAATAAAGAAGAACTAACAACTCAAAATGACTTGTTCAAAAATTTTAAGTAACTCTTAACTTCCAAACGCCTGAACAGCAAATGTAACTTTTCTTGTCTGCATCGTAAACACTGGCATTTGTATCTGTTTGAATAATCAAAGTGGTGCTTTCTGTGCCTTCTTGGTTGCAAAGATTTGAACTGCTTCCTGAAGGTACAGTCTGGACCAGATCATGCTCTACTGAAATGGTTGCAAGGCCGACCAGCCTCTCCTGTGTCATTGTGGAGCGTAGATGTGTTTTTATTAACTTCAGCTTGGAGAAGCTGCGTTCTCCACTGGCAACTGTTACAGGAAGTGTTAGACGTATGCACAGAGCAACAATGTATCTTGAAAGGGCTTTCAGTTCATCACCTAAATCACTCGCATCAATATCGAGCATATCATCATGTGTCAACACTCTCTCTAGTGCCCTGCATTGCTGGTGTAGGTCGTCTTCTGGTATAGTGAGGAGTTTTGGAATATCATACAACATCCAAAATATACTGCTGTGTTCCTTGAGCTGCATGAAACGTTCTTCAACGGACTGTATTGCACAATCTAGCACCTGGTTAAAGAATTCAATTTTGAATGATTGTTTGGGGTTTCTTATGGGATCATCCCATGCCTCATAATCAAAATGTCTTCTTCTTCGGTGACTCTTGTATTCTTGAATGGGTGGGAAAATATCTTCAGTGTGAAGTTCCTCTGTCAACTTCTGTGTACTCTTCAGAACGTTTTGAAATCCTTCACCTGATTGGTAGGACTGTAGGTATGACTTTGCTTTGTCCAGTTGTTCTATTGCTCCAGATATATCAAGGTCAACACTTTGGAGTCTCTTGCTTACAACATTTATTTCAAACAGTATGTCATGCCACAACACTAAGCCACACAGAAATTTGAAGTTATGTATGTTTCTGGTGATTCCATTTCCCTCTGCCATTGTTCTCCCATGAACAGTTCCTGTCATAGCATTATCCTCCATAACGGCAACTATGGCATCATCTATCTTCCCAATTTGGTGTTTGATAGGCTTTATCGCCTCCACTTGACTTTCCCATCGTGTGGCACTCAGTGCTTTCAGTGCCAGAGAGGATGTTCCCAGATGTTGCTTCCCCGCACAACACAGGTTTGTCATGTCCACTCCATACCCTCCAACATCTTCAGAGTTCACTTAACTCTCTCACGCTTCTCACTCTTCAAGCCATGGGTAGGTGACCTACTCCCAATATTACCACTATCTTCTATCTTCAGGAAGAGCATCAAAGTAAAGCTGTTGTTCTCACAATCCATAGGAAACTTCTGCAGAACATCAGATTTCCTGCCCAGTCCAATTCAGAAACAGTGGGGTCCTCAACACTGCAAGTTTATCTTTCTGCTAATGACTGAGCTAGCTTCTAACTCATTCTAGAGCTGAGAGATGCCTTAGAATGCACTGGTACTATCTGAAGGTATTTTCTGTGGATGGGGAAAGGGAGATTTACCCTTCCTGGTCCCCTGAAAACAAAAGATGAGGAATCATACCAGCTGGCCATCCCTGAAAAGCCAGAAAGGGCTTATCTGGCTGCCTCCTTAAAGGCGGCAGACAGGGGTTGAGGGACTACTACATCACTACTAAAAGTGCAAGCCTCTGAGTAAGACATAAGAGTCTCACCAAAGTCAATGAGACTTCTCACATGATTAAACCTATGCTCCTGGTTAAGTGCTTTTCTGGACCAGGGTCTAAAACAGTGTCATCTCCCAGTCAGTTGTTTAAGTAGAAACAAAAGGTGCTATGACATTATTAAAAACAAAAGTCACTCCGAATTTTGGTATCCTGGCTAACATATTCCTTCCTCTTAATTCTGCTGCACATTAGCTAGCAATTCAGAATAGTGCTAGACTTTCATGGCTGCATGGAGGATGATAGTTATGACATTTCCTATATATAGCCACTCCTTTACAGCTTTTTATTTTAATTAAACGCCTTGTACAACATCTTGAAATATTTGATTATACATAAAGTGGAAGGAAAGAGTAAATTGTTTCTGTTTTAACATTGTCTGAGAATGCTCAGATTCACTGGGAGATTTACCTTGGACCATAAAGTCCTGACATGGGAGAGAGGATGAAAATGTCCTGGAGAGCAGAGCTGTCAATTTTTGAGGACATGCCCATTGTGCTGGTTGGAGTTGTGGAGCTGCTTGTTGGACTGGTTGGAATCACAGGCTGTGAAAGAGAAACAAACAAATTAAAAATGAAACTCATCATTTCCATGCTACATTTCAGTGGTGCTCTCACAAAGCTAAACTGTGTTTTCTTAGCGGGGATCACCATTCTCTTGGCTGCTCTCTCTTTTGGATTAGCCATAATTACAGCTTCTTGCAGAAGGGATGTTTGTTGAAATTTCCCCCTGCTTTTGTAAGCATTGCAAGACCAAAGTTATTTGGTGGAAGAGGCTGAACTAAAGCAAACATATCTGTATTAGAGTAGCAGCCGTGTTAGTCTGTATTCACAAAAAGAAAAGGAGTACTTGTGGCACCTTAGAGACTAACACTGTATTAGTGTTCAAGATGTCTTTTGGAAAGTTTTAAAAATTGTAAGTCAAAAAAGTATGATCTTTAAACTTCAAAACAACAAGCAACAGATTAGAGAATACTTAGAACACTGGGGTATGTTAAACCCACCCAGTGCTGCACTGCGGGATAGCCATTATTAAAATACAAGTAAGTAGCACGTGGTTTATGTTCTCCAACTGATCACCCCCCCGTACTAATTAGGGTGGCCACTGGTGCATGCCCAGAACACTGGACATTCTGGTACTTCTGAAAACGGCATTGACCCTCCCCTGTCTTCATGACCGCACCTCTGCTGTCATGATCTCGCACGCATGGTTCGTGCAAGTTCACACCAGTGGGGCAGAGTGGCATGCTCTTCAAAATGACAGCCTCCATCTTATGAGGCAAAACCAAATACAGTTTTATACCAGTACTGGACAGGGGACAAACCTGGGGGGAAAAAACAGGACTGTCCGATTTAAAACTGGAGAAATGGCCTGCCTATTACTAATTCAAGCAGATATTTCTGTACTTTCAATAGTTCTCCTCTCTATTCCTGTGGGAACACAACACCCATAAGTTTAATGTATAGTATTTATTCCCTGCTAAAAGGGGTGGAGTTGCTCCAAAAGTTGAGATTTGTCAGTGGGAATGGAATTAATTATATACAGAAGCTAGTTGTTTCCAAATAGGATTTTCTCTTGGCTGTATCTGAAGAGGGAATTTCTATAGTGGAAATGCTTTAATTGTATCCCATGCTTTAATTGTATTTAATTATAGACTGTACAATACGGATGCTAAATGAAAGAGTTCAGAACCATAATATTGGGGGATGGGAGGGAAGGCTTCTTACCACTCCTACCTCTCCCTTTGGGACATAACTACAGGATTCCTATGGAAACCGGATCTTTGGCCCATCCACTCCAGCTGCTCCTTATTCTTTATCTGAAAGCCTAATCCTGTCTGTGACATTTGTGGCTCCATGCCAACTGATTGTGAGGCCACAATTAATGAAATATAAATTAATCTGAGGAATAAGCAGAAACATCACCAGCACACATCTTATTTAAAAAAAGTGAAGTTCATCCCTGGTTGGAAGGATAGTATCAGATAATGTTCTGAATGGGCTCTCTGTGGGAGGTCAACTGTCTGCATGCCCATACAGGGCACTGCACACTTCCTGTATGACACAGAAATGGGCTCAGCACCACCCCTGCATTATACTGATGCACAGAGGCTATTTAGCAGTCCAAGGGCATTTCAAGATGAGCCAGAGAAGGATCCCTGGATTTGTGTTTATATTGATCTAGTGGCCTCTGTACCCCATGCAATTGGCATGGAAGGTCTACAGCTGTTAGTCCAGCCTAAGGGCTGGGGAGATGGACTACACCTCCCTTACTGCTCTTCACTGTGTCTGCATAGAGCCCAGACACTTTGGATGAAATTGATTCCATCCACATAGAGCCCAAGATACTGTTTTCATGCAAATGTTTTATTGTAGTATAAAAAGGGAAGAGAAATACAGACATTATATAGATCTGTACACTATTGAGATGTGTCACTACACAGAACTTTTCAGAGACAACTTTATGGCTCAAGGGATTGGTAATGGAATACACACCAGTCACTTGTGTGATCATTCATTAATTCACAGCACTAGTCATTGTTGGTTACTGCTAGCAGATTGCTGCTTTAAGTAATCTGTTGATGGTTTCACTCCAGTTGCTAGTGGACAGATGTGCACATAACTAAAACCACCATCATAACTGATAAACCTTTTTGGCAGTATCAGCAGAGAAATTAAGAGTTCACTAGCCTGGACACTGAACTACCCTCTCACCCCTAAAAGAATGGCTCCTCCAGCTCAGTGTTCAGGAATACTGGTGGTATACTCTAGAAAACTCTATGATTGTTCATACTAGTCTTTATGTAGATAGACAGAAGATGTCAGCATTCTTCTTGTCAGTTCTCTCTCCAAAAGTTAATTTAGAGCAATGCTGGAGATGGGAGGGGAATTAAAAAAAATGTGGAACCTGCAGTCTTTAAACTTGTAATTTTTTCTCCAAGTGTTTTTTCTGTTTCTAATTTTAGCTTTTCTAGGACTATATTATTTTTTAGGATTAGGACATCTGGCTACTTACACTACTTGCCCCTGTTTCACATACACTGATAATAGATGATGCAAAATGATTTAACACTGGCAAAAATGTAACATGAAGCCAGCAAACACAGTAAACTACAAAGCTCTTGTCTAATACAATTTGACTCATATTAGAGCACAGAAATAGGGGAAATATAGAAATGAACAAACAATATGTTAAATAATAGGCTGAATATATTACAAATGTCAGTGCAAAGGTCCCACTCACAGTTGTGATATTATTTAACTGATGTTGTGATATAAATCACTATTTGAGAAACCAAGCTAGATTTTTTATTCACAATATAAAAAGGTACAGGTTACTACCAGTCACAGTAATCAGCAATGACTTGTCTTCTCACATCTGTTTTGGGAGCCACACCCTGCAATATTACTATTAACAGGATGGTATCATTACAAGTAGTTAGAATGAGCTAATCATGCTGAATTGAGATATTATGTTAATGTCCTAACCTTATATGACACCTGCATATAGAAGCATCAAAGACTGACCCTGTGGGTGTTGCTATAGGTAATTAATTAATAAAGAAGGGCTATGAAAAAGGTAAATATAATATAAATGAATTTTAAAGTACAAAAAGTTAAGGACATATTTTAATCAAACAATTACTGGCTCCTAGATATAAGGATACATTTTCATTGTAACTGTGTTTTTCATAGATGCAATATAGTATCTCTATCTACAGACCATTGTATATGTATTTAGGGCATGGAGATATATATATATTTGGGCAGGTTGTATAGATTATTTATGTGGAAGCCTCTAGTTTGAAGACACACAAATGTGATTAAATACATGCAGCTAGTTTTCTAGCAGGCTAGACGGAAAACCAGGTGAATCTAGGAATCAGGTGGGGAATACCAGAATTATCTAGAACCACATCTTTGAATCCTGACTAAGCACTTAATCTTTCAGATGCAGATAATTTGAACACCATGTAGTTTCATTTGTGGGGGTATTTTCAATGATATGCTAAAAATTCCATCCCCCATTAGTAAACATAAAAGATCCCATAACACTTTTCACAAGAGTGAGGATTTCACTCAATGTCCTTAGCCAAAAATGTCCCCCACCCCAACTGCTGTGCAGCCTAAAACACGACCAGATTTTATGTTTACTACTCCACCATTATTTCAATAGCTTTGTTTGTACACACTATGGTCAGTAATTCTTTCAGGATTGTGAAGTATGCTACGATCTTTCAGGATGAAAGGTGATAAACAAGGATCCTAATTTTCTGTGATAAACCCCCCCCCAAATTCTGATAAAAACCCCCCATAAAAATCCACGTTTTTCCATGATTAAAATTAAATGCTGAACTTTAGTTTCTCTAGCCACAATATATATAGGTATCAGTTGAACACAATGTTTTATTGATATACAGTAGAACCCCATTTATCAAAGTCTCCATTATCGAGCTCTTTCTACTAAATGAATCACCAGACACCTGGGGCTGAAACTGGCAGAGCTTGGGTGTTCAGTCCCAGCCTGAGCTGCCTAGGGCTGACCGCCCGAGCCCCAGCCAGGCATTGAATAAGTGACACTGGTACTTCCAGTAAAATTTAGTTAATATTTAATACATGTTTTTATTTTTTCCTCTGTAAAAATGCAAATTCTGTGTTTTTCTGTGACAAACTGATTTCTAGGATCTCTGGTGACAAACAGATGTAATTAATATTTATCTGCAAGAGGTATCAGGTTTTTTAATGTCATAAGGAGAATTAACACCACGAGAGCCATACTTTTAGAACTGATCTTCTAGCTTTAGAAAACTGACTGCTCTGAAGAACTGCTTTCCAGGTGTTGTACATTCAATAATTATCAGTGATGGGTTAATAAAGGAAATCATCACACATATGCAGAGGTTGTGGGGTTACTCATGATTATTGATGGGCAGCCAATATTTTCATGCTTCCACATCTCCAAAAGACCATCTATAAATATAGACTCTGATTTTGGTCTCACTTCAGTGTAAATTAGGAAAAACTCAACTGAAATCAATGGGGTTATATTGGTTTAGAAGTTGTGTAAGCAAGAGAGGAATCAATCTGATCGGATATGTCTATGCTACAGCAGGCCCGCTGGCAGGGAGGCAAAGGGAGGAATTGCCCAGGGGCCTGGGTGATTTAAAAGCGCCCGGGGGCCCCTGGCCCTTTTAAATTGCCCAGGCAGGCTGCAGGGCTCCTAGGCGCATGAGGGATGGTACCAGCTGTCAAGGTTCCTTCCCCACTCTGAACTCTAGGGTACAGATGTGGGGACCTGCATGAAAGACCCCCTAAGCTTATTCTTACCAGCTTAGGTTAAAAACTTCCCCAAGGTACAAACTTTGCCTTGTCCTTGAACAGTATGCTGCCACCACCAAGCATTTTAAACAAAGAACAGGGAAAGAGACCACTTGGAGACGTCTTCCCCCAAATATTCCCCCCCTCCCTCCAAGCCCTATACCCCCTTTCCTGGGGAAGGCTTGATAAAAATCCTCACCAATTGGTACAGGTGAACACAGACCCAA